CAAAGAGTTGCGGTCAACGGCTCCATGTCCAAGAGGAAATCAGTGACGAGTGGTGTTCCTCAGGGGTCGGTACTGGGACCGGCACTGTTCAACATCTTTGTTGGTGATACGGACTGTGGGATCGAGTGCACCCTCAGCAAGTTTGTCGATGACACCAAGCTGTGTGGTGTGGTCGACACGCTGGAGGGAAGGGATGCCATCCAGAGGGACCTTGACAGGCTGGAGAGGTGGGCCTGTGTGAATCTCATGAAGTTCAACAAGGCCAAGTGCAAGGTCCTGCACGTGGGTTGGGGCTATGCCAAGTACAAATACAGGCTGGGAAAAGCATGAATTGAGAGCAGCCCTGAGGAGAAGGACTTGGGGGTGTTGGTGGACAAGAAGCTCAACATGAGCCAGCAATGTACGCTTGCAGCCCAGAAAGCCAAACGTATTCTGGGCTGCATCAACAGAAGCATGATCAGCAAGTCGAGGGAGGTGATCCTGCCCCTCTACTCTGCTCTTGTGAGACCCCACCTGGAGTACTGCATCCAGCTCTGGGGGCCCCAGCACAGGAGAGACATGGAGCTGTTGGAGCGAGTCCAGAGGAGGGCCACGAAGCTGATCAGAGGGCTGGAGCACCTCTCCTATGAGGACAGGCTGAGAGAGTTGGGATTGTTCAGCCTGGAGAAGAGAAGGCTCCAGGGAGGCCTTACTGTTGCCTTCTAGTACCTAAAGGGGGCCTACAAGAAAGCTGGAGAGGGACTGTTTACAAAGGCATGTAGTGATAGGACAAAGGGTAATGCCTTAAGCTGAAGGAGGGTAGATTTAAATTAGATATTAGGAAAAAATATTCACTATGAGGGTGGTGAGGCACTGGACCAGGTTGCCCAGAGAAGCTATGCCCCCTCCCTGGCAGTGTTCAAGGCCAGGTTGGATGGGGCTTTGGGCAACCTGGTCTAGTGGAGGGTGTCCCTGCTCATGGCACGGGGGTTCGAACCAGATGATCTTGAAGGTCCCTTCCAAACCAAACCATTCTATGATTCTATGAAAAAAAGGAGGGAGACGAGTGAAAGGTAGGAGCACCACCACCTGAGTTGCGGGGCTTTTTGGTTTAAAAAACACAAACGGCATTTAGAATGTGACCTGGAAATACACTGTTCTGAGCACCACCATTCTCCATAAGCAGAATGGAAGTCTAGCAGCTCAGTGATTAGCTACATCATTGACTTGTTTACTATATTAACTTTAAACTGTAACACCCATCTAAGACCCACTGTAGATGGTGCGGAAGTAGCATACTTCTTACGAACCTCAGCTGAAAGGGAAGTATAACGAAAATTTTTCTTCAAACTTTCTTTCAACACTTGAATCCTGTTCTTCCTCTACAACTAGGTCAGTCATTATAGGAGAAGGGAGTAAATGACAATCAAATGGGAAAAGAGACAAGATCAATGAGATGGCCCATCTCATTTTCAAACTGAAGTTCTGTATGCTTTTGCTAAACTACTCATGCAATCTTGTTCTGGAATTGCTAGTTGGTAAACTTCATGGGCAATTCTGGGCAAGACAGTAGAACAATTGGCTGAAATCAAAGCTGGAAAGGCATGGACAGGGTGTAGATTTCACCTTTCATCAGTAGAGGGTGCTGCCTCCGGGCTGGCCAGATTATGAAAAACTAAAGTCTCCTACTCTGGGGGTGGAGTAAACTGCCCAGGCACTCAGCGCACAACGGCTGGTAGAACTGGCTCAGACAAACTGGAGGCAGCAGCATCCATGGCATGCAGCTATCATACCCCTGTGCCAACTTCGTATGTGTGGAAACATACTGTGGCATGGGGGTCTCCTATCAGTTGCCTCTATTCTGCCCTCTGAACTCCTATAGCAGTGACAAAAAAGAAACAGGGTTTATGGCTCAAGGGAAATACAACATCCTAAAAAGGGAGGTGTATAGTAAATTTACCTTAATATAATGCAAGATGGAAAAAACAGATAGAGTTACTGTGCTTAACATAAAGGGGATGGAAAGAGAGAGGAAAAAAGTTATCTGTCCATGGCTAAGTCTTCAACCTTAAAAAGTTAGCACTGTAGGAAGTTGAATGCCAGAAAAAGGATGCTTCTAGTTTAAACAGAAAAAAAAATATCAGTTGATTAGATATTGTTTTAAGATTAGCTGCTGTAGTCTTCTCCTTTAAAAGACGACAACTTTGTGGGGTTGGCATTTCTAGACAGCTAAAAGCAGCAGCTGTTACTGTCACCAACTAAGAAAAGGAGACAGGATTATCAGTTCTATAGCTCGTTTTGTTTAACAGAAGATGGTAAGAAAGGAATATCCCAAACAGATGCATCCCAACACATTCCAAACAGATGAGAATTCAGTGCTTCCAAACAGAGGATACTAAGAAGTGCTATCAGGGGGGTGAGGGTTAGATAGGATCCTGTAAGTGGAGCTGTACATTCAGAGAAACAGGTGACTTCAGAAAATAAAAGCTGAAGAAAAAGCCTCCTCCTCCCCTCTTTTTCTCCTTTTGATAAATATTTTAAGTGAATGCTTTAAACTTACCAGCTTTAAAGCTGAGTTCATCTTGCTCTTGGCCCTCATAGTCATAGAGGGCACGTACTCTCACCTCCATAGCAGAAGATGTATCTTCATCAAATGGATTGGTGTCTCCATTTGCATCAGTGGAAGAGAAGGGATTGTTGGACTCTTCATCAGACCAGTCTGTAGGGTAGCTTTGGTTTTTTTCATAGCTGCTAACACTGAAAACAAATTTTAAAATTATTCTTCTCTGCTCTTAAAATAGGAGACTAGAAATACCACTAAGATATCAGCTCCCCTAATAAAGCTTAAACTCCGCTCTAAAGCCCAGTTTTCAAACTTTATTTCTGGTATCTTCTCACCTATCTTTAGCTGACAATGCCTCATTCAAAATAAAGAAACAAAATACATTTACAAAGTTAGAAAAAGGCAAAAGAAAAAACCAAAGACAACCTCCCTACAAACTCCAAAAACTTCTCTGTGAAGAAATCTATATCATCCATGGGATTGTTTACTCTAGAAAGGTAAAAGGTATGCAGGTAGTAGATATGAGGAATTATCTCATTTAGGATAAGACATTTAAATTGTTTAAATTGCTTTGCATAAACTTCCTCCCTAATCTCTATGCACCTTTACAATAGCTTTCAACACTTTTTGTATGTTGCAATCCACCAATAAAGAAACTTCATTACACTGCAACAACTTGATCATTTAAAGAAAAGTTCACTGTTAAGCATGCACATGCCATTTAAAAGAGTGCTATGACATCCCTAGTGTGTGTACAGAGGTAACAGGCAGCTGTTTGAGAAGGTCCTGAATAAAAAGAAAGCAGTCGTAAAAGCAGATTTATTCAGCAAGAACACACAGAGCAGTAAAGCTCCAGAAGCAGTTTCACTAGAAAAACGCATCAGGTTTAACATTTTATAGGACTGATAAAGGAAGGGAAAAAGCAACAGCAGTTCTGTTAGCAACTGCCGATAACCCCAGTAGTTTCAAACCAGAGATCAAGGCAACAGATATGGCATCTGTTAGGAAAAACAAGTTAGGTTACAGTGTTGCTTACACAACCGCTTAAAACATGCACTGACCAGCATAGTGTTATAGAAACCAAAAATCGAAAACCCTGGATAGAGAAAGTGCAAGTGTGAAAACAATTAAAAAACAACATTTCACCAACTTTTTGATCTTATTGTCCTCCTTTTCACTGACAGTACTCCCAGTATCTTCTTCATCTTCAAAGGGATTGTAACTTGATTGTACTGACTGCACTGTGTTACTCTGGACACTAAGACTGCTAATTTGGAAAAGAAAGAGCATTATGGTGACCCTATCTGTTTTAAGAGTAGAACACAGTCACTGGTGTCCCACCAAGCAGTTTCTTAGGAGACCCCTTCTCCAGCCAAAAAAACCAAACAAAACCCCAAATTTCTATCAAATGTAGCATAAGACCCAAGAAAGTTCGGGAAGTGTCACATATGATACAATCCCTTCAGAACCAGAATATCCTTTGTGAAATGTATTTTTTTTTTCCTTACTGCCTGCAATAAAAGGCAGTGTGATTCTTCTGGCCAGTTTCAGTCCTTTTGAAAGCAGCCAATGTTAACAGTTTTGTATTAATCACATCCAGAATTCTGAAGTGACTAAACATTTTGCAAGCTAAGATTTCAAAGCATAATTGTAATTTCTAGAGATGGGATGATAGCAACAGACTAACCACCAGATTAGCTGCAGAACATTCACTTTCTCATCAAGTTTGGTTTCTTTTACTTTCCAACAGACAGAGAACTGTACAATGGAGAATTCCCAAAATATTTTGTGAGATGCAGAAACACATCACTAGAAATGCCCACAGACAAATTAACATTTCATTGGACAGTGACTTTTTGATCCCATAGAGCTTAGTGTACTTGGAGATAGCCCTTTCCAGTTAGTCTTTTTAGGCATAAAAAAATACCTGCTATGTTTGTTAGGCTGTGAGACTTGATCTCCTGTCTGATTAATACCAGTCAGAGTCACTCCATCAGAAGCCTTCTTCTTTTCTCTTCTACTGAGCGTGCGATTCAGATCTGCAGACCACTCCTATCAATGAATGCAAAATGTGACTGAGAAATTTAATTGAACAAGTAATTATCACATTTAATTTTCAGACTGAGTTATGGAACATACATCTATACATACAACAGTACAAATAATTATTAAAAAGATAAGTTACTCTCAGTGTTTCAGTTATGGTTCTCATCTAGTTCCTACCCTAGCAGTGCAGACAGATATCTGTGCTACTCACAAAATCCCAAGGTTACTGGTACTTCCCTGCTTAGCATTCTAAACACCTTGAAGACTTAAAATACCAGTCATCCGGCAGACAACTGGAGAAATCAAAGGACTTGGCCAGTGCAGCTCTTTAAAAGTTGTACTGAGAGGGCTCACTGTTTCAAATAATGCCAAGACATCTGGCTTTAAAAGGTAAACCTTACATTCAATGTAAAAAAAGGTATTATAATCAAATTTAAGACAGAGCTTATTTCTCAAGAAGCGCTCCAAGAATGACCTACAAAGCAGCTCATTTTTAAATTCACTGTATATCACTTCTCCTGTCCCTAAAGATTTGAGACCTTAGTGTACTTCACTTTAGATTTAGTGAAATTTATTGTCCTTAAAAGCCACCCATAAGAGCTAAGGCTCAAATCAACACAGCGGTTGACAAGACTCATGATGTCATTTGTGAAGTATCCCCTCCTTGATTTGAACCATTCAGATGCTTCAGAAGGCAGAGGGACAGGCATGATGAGACCTAGACACAACTTCTACCTATCAAGTCAAACTAAGCTGCGTATTAATATAAAACAGGAACCAACAGAGATCAAAACTGGATGCAAGCAAATAGCCTATGCTGAGATGTGTTTCATCTCAGAAACCTTAAAGGTAAAAAAATAGTCAGGAGTAGTTTGCTATACACAAGATAGCATTTTAGATAAGGAAACGAAGATTTTGAGAGTTGCAATTACTATGGCTTATACACATAGCACAGTCAGTCTTAAGTAACTTCTGGCCAACTTTTCAGAGATCTCATTATTTTAACTTTGTACAAATACATATTGGATTTCTGAGTTACCATAGTTTAAAGACCACTGACCTAAGCATATTTGCAGTTTATAATGCAATTTCATATTCATTTGATCATGTTTTTTTTATTACTTACGTCATCCTTGTAGCATGTAAATGAGAAAAAACTTGATTAGAAAAATAGTAACAACAGTATTTAATCTGTTAATCATAATACTTATGAAAAAGGATGGTTATTTCCACACACAGAAATAACTTTAGTTCAGCGTTTCAGGCAAAGAAATTCAGTAGTACTATTATGAGTTTTCTTCCTCAAGCCTTCTAATCTAAAGTTACTCAATATTTTAAAAACAAGTGATATTTTCTATTATGGTTAATAAGGGAACAGTGAACATTCCAGAGTTGATGCTTCCACTCCATTAATTTAATGCCTAGAAATTATTTCAACTAAATGCATTATTCTGGTCAAACTCATCCCAATTCCAGCTATTCAATACTCTGGTAGCATGATCTGCATTGCTACATTTTGGTACTTGTTTCTCATTGGCTATATTAGCAGAACACTACTTAAAAAACCTCCCTTCTTTTGAAGTTGGCATTCAGCAATAAAATTACCAACTGGTTAAAGCTGGAACTTTTTTAATATAAGAGTATTGAAAAAACTAGTTGACACTTATAAATACTAGTTTTCAGGACTGATTGAAATATTTAGTTCAAACTTTTTCAAAGTCTTTGCTGCCTATGCTATAATTACCTGCTAACAGCAAGGGGATTCAAATTGAAGTCTGACACCAAAGGGCAGAAGTAAAACATAGAGGATAACATATACAGGTGTCAGAGCTGTATCAACTAAACCAAGGCTTACTAATGACTTCAGTAATGACTTTAGCTTAAAAAAAAAATCACTATAAAGTTTTCTGGTTTACTCCTTTTCTCTTTAAATAGGTGCCCAACATAATCACCTCCAAAAGCTGGGGATGAGGAGAGCCTAATGGAAATCAAGAAAAGAAAACTACCATGACTTGTAAAAACAAAAAAATTCAGTGCTGGAAGTCTGAATTTAAGTTACACCAGAAAGGAATATGATAAAAAGCAAAGAGGAAAAAAATTAGACAAAACAAGTCTGGGTTTTAAGTACTCTGACCTTACCTCAAACTGAGGCCAGTTCATTGACATCCCTGGACCTTGATTAGCTCTAAACCACCGTAAGTCTTCAACAGCATCTGCTGTTTTGATATTCTGTTCCAGTTCACGGTAGATATTTTTGTAACTGCAAAACAAATTTGTCTTCAAATTTAGTATAACGTTTAGAAACATGGCAAATCCCCTAGTCAGATTTAAAAAAAAAAAAAAAAAAGAGTATTTCAAAGTTCACAGTAGTATTGAAAAAACTTACAGCAACACAGACTTTTTAACACTACGAGAGGCCTGTTAACTGCCGGTAAAAAAGGAAGAGTACGCAAACAAGTAAGCTTGCTGAAAGTTCACAAAGACATAAAAGCCTTATCTGCCAGATTTTAGAATTAAGTTACCTTACACAAGCTTCATAAATAGCTGTCATTAAATGGAGGATTTACATAGGAATGTATTTAAATTACTGAATGTCAGTCTTGGAAGATTCTTGAATTTAAAAGCTTGTCGAGAAGACAGTAGAAACTGTTTTTGTGCTAAGTCCACAGAATTCTGTGAAAACTTGTGTGTTAATCCAATGAGAATTATAAGCCATTATAAAAATAAAAATCTCAAACTTGAAGCAGAGTTAAATGAGTTAAATATTTTCCTGTGCAGGTATAACATCTGCTAACTGCTTTTATTGGTTTAGGTACTCTCTCATTTTACTAACTGTGCTATTTCTACAAAATATCAAATACTATAAAAAAAGAACCTTAATACTTTTACTTATCTTTTGTTTTTTCTACTTAATTTTTGTTGAAGTGGAGTTCTCACAAGTATGAAGTATTTTACAGGACAGAGATACAACTTGGATCCCCTGATCCTAGACCATGTACATGAGATATTCACTTTACAGACTGTGACTACAAATACAATTGCTTTATACAAAAAAACCCAATATGGTGCAATATGGAACCCAGAGTATAAAGAAGTCTTAACACAACAGCCACAAGGCTTAAAGTAGAAGACACAGAACTGCTAGTCTATATTCAAGCTAGAGAGAATTTGGGAAAATCCTTCCAGACCAAGTCACACAAAATTTAGAATTAGAATTCATTAATGCTACATTGTCAAGGAGTCAAAAACTTTCTCAAAATATACTTCCAAATTTCTCAATTCTATATATTACTTGACTGCTTTAACATGTATGCAGTGCGTTTTTTTCCCACATCAGGGGTTCTTTGAATGTATGTAAACAATAGAAAGGCATGTATTTTGAGAAAGGGAGTAAGTAATTTTGAATGACTCACTAGCCATCAGTTAAATCAACAATAAACTGGAGGTTTATTATCTACATCTGTGGAAGACAGGGCAGCGTTATTTTCTGGACTGTGCTCCTCAGCATTAATAGTCTTAAGAAAGTTAAAAATCAGACTTCCTTTTAGGGGTTTATTCTACATGTTTTATCTCTGTGTATTCAGAGAGACAGGGATAAGGAAATAGATAAACAGTTACAGTTGCTTTAGCCTAATAGTTATTTTCTTTGTTTGCATCTTGTTAACATAAGACACCACTCCTGAACGTCCTAAGTATCTTAAAAGGAAATCATTGACTCTGCACTTGGTCATCTTCTGTAGTCTTCCCCCAACCTTGCCCTTTGAGTCAACTATTTAGCATTTATTTCAGTTCTGTAGTTTCTTTAAACCTGAATTCAAATGGGCAATCCTAACTATCTACTCAGAATAAAAAGTACCTGTCTTCCACAGCAGTCCATAAGAACTTTGAAGCAATCCAAAATGATAATGAAGCTAAAATAAGTGATCTTGCCCTTACCTATTTCTTGCTCTTTATTTGTTCTTGCCCCTATGTTACCTGCCAGCACTAACGTTCGTATGACTGCACAGGAAGTCAATCTGGAACACTGATCAGGGTTAAAATCAAACTAGATTCTTCCTGCCCTATGTACCTTGATCAGCTCCTTAATTCCACTGGTTGGACTACCATAACATTTTTTATACTAGCAGAAGAGGGAACAGAGATGAGCAGCTAGCCAGGAGCACATTTTTCTCCTTTTAATTGAAGTACCAAGCAGAGTGCACATGAAACTCTGCTATTACAAGTGGGATGTAAAAATCTACTAGTGTTACAGCATTTGCTGCAAGTATTCCAGCATCTGTCTTCTCAAATGCAAAAGAAAACAAAAACATAACAACCACTGTCTTGCTGACATACCAAAGTAGCTGTGTATCAAAATGGCCTGTAGTAGTTGACAACATGCCACATGGTCTAACAAAATAAGCTGCATGAGCTCTGGTTTGAGTTCTCTAGCAGAAGTTTAGATTTCTTGGAATATAGTGAGGAGGGTCCAGGCACAAAGAACAAAGTACAAGGCATGCTTTACACATGCTACATACAGTATAAAGAGCAGACTTTGAAATTAATATGGACAAGAGTTCAGCAACGGTCAACCAATGGATCTTTAACATTTATCCCCTAGTCAAGGTAATTCCTTGAGACTGAGCTCTAATATTTTAACAATAAATGTGTTTATGCTACAACGTTCACGCTTAGTCTTATGCTAAGAAATTCTAGTTTGTTCTCCAATAAACGTGCAAGACACATAATACACCAAAACTCTCCTTTCCCAATCTTTGATTTAGCATTTTTTGATTCTAAGCTCTGAATCCTTTCTAATTAACACAGATTTGATTATACAAATACAAAAAGAATGAGGGTTTCTTGGTTCATTTAACACTGTGTTAAATAAAACTAGCAAATGTTAGGGATAGATGCTAATTTGATCTTAGACAAAGCAAACAATTAAGTTCTTTCACTTACACTTTAAACAAATTGAAGTAACACATTAGAAACAAATCCGATTCCAAACTCTCATCTACTTGAAGTATGGATTACTTTTCACTGAAAAGTATTAAGCATTAATTTTGAAGTCTTACACAGTTTTACCTTGCAAGATTAGACAAGTCAAGGTGTTTTTGAACTTCCAGTAACACTTCTCGAAAGAAACGTAAGCGTTTTTCCTCAAACTGCTGACACTGTTCAAATACCTGCTCCATGTTTTCCATATATTGAGGAGTAGCATTATCCAGTTCTTTCAGTGATTTTTCATACTTTTCTTTTGTCTGGGGGTGGAAAAACAAACCGTTAGCAATATATTTTATTACTAACCTACATAACAGGCTTATCAATGTAGTAATGGCCAATAGTTAGACCAGAAGTTCCCAAACCACATTCTTTTTTCATGACCACTGTACCTATTTTAGGTCAGCATGACAGTTATCTAACAAAACTGCAGAACAGTTACAATAAAGCTCTAAGCCTCTCCTCTGGCTTTTTAACAGAAACCATGACAATTGCCAAAGTAATATACTAAAGATAAAAACCAAAGGAGCCACAGAGTAAATCAGAGCGGACAGTCTTTCAAGTTACAGGTCTCTTACTTAAAGATCTCCAAATAATTTCAAAGTGCTGTCTTTTCTCCTTCAGTAATTTACATAGTCCACTGAGAGTTATAACCAAAAACCCAAACATTGTATACATCCCTGTGAACATGAATTGCACATGCTGTGAGCTCAGTTAACAGATAAAAATCTCAGACTATACAGTAATTTAGAGAAGTAGTCCACAGACAGGAACTAAAAGATCCCACCCGATATAACACCAGCCTTCCAGATCACAGAAGAGCATTCTCAAAGGGAAAAGATGATCTTGAAGAAAGTCACACAAGAAAAGCCTCTTGCTAGCAGTTTACTAAAGAGATAAACCAAACTGGGCAATAGAATGGCATTTCCAAAAGTGTATTTACTTTTATTTAATGGATTATGACTACCAGTTTAGATGTCAGCAAGTTTTAACCACCCATCTTGCAGCCTCTCAAGTGAAATAACACTCACTACTAAATGAGTAAAACTTTGTCCTAGAAGTTCACTGTCTTATTCTGCTTTGTTCCCTGCTAAAAGTACTTATGTGGAATAGAGGCATTACGTTATTCATTCTTCACAGAAGAACTCAGCGATAAGATATGCTTTGGAGAAAACTCTAGACTTTTGTACAGGACCATAACTGAAAGTGAGCTGCACTGTAGTCCATGGCACATTCAGGAAGGAAAAAAAAGCTTAAATATGCATGTGTTAGCATACAGTATACCTTTAGTACATCTTGCTTGCTTCTCTCCACTTTGTCTTGTAATTTCTTAAGTTGTTCAGGATTTAGTGCTGGATCAGCTTTGCTGTTTGTTTCTCTGGATATAGCCAGTTTCTCCTCTTTGCAGGCTGCATGGTATGCTTTCTTTGCAGCTTCCACCTACAAAGTAGATTTGAATATTTGCATCTGGGACAGTTTATACAATAACCAATAACTGAATTTTTTAGCCTTATAATTATGTTGTAATGAAAAGAGTGTCAGGTTTTTGTTTCAGAATATTTTTTTAATTTTTTTTTTTCCATTTAGGCCAAGGAATGAACAATACACAAGAATCAATATAAAGAAATTATTGCAGTACTTAAGAATCAGCATTTTCTCACCATACAATAAATGTCAGCCATACAGCTTAGAGAAGTGTGGAACAGACTCAAGAAAAGGTTTACAGAAAGTCCCCAATTGAACGTTTTTTCCTCATGCCCATGTTCGCCTGCTCCCCTTCTACAAACCTGTTATTTAAGAATAATGTTACATGACAGGGAAAAAAAATCCACAAACACTTTTCCCCTGCTCATTCCTTTGAGCAATTCGTAACTTTCAAACACATGAAATCAGATACTTTTAAAATGACAGCTTGAATTCCACTTTTGCCAGATTTTCACTGAAGTCACCAAGATTAGGAGAGACCAAGAGAAAAATACTTATTTTCAGAAGAGGACAGAAAGCAAGAGGTCTTTTTGAGAAAGGAGGGTCCAGCAGAGAGAATAGGGAGTTTACTCCCTTATAGAGATTTGAGACATTAATATATTGTAACACAGGATATCTAATACATAATCTACTGCTGTACCTCTTTCAGCTTTTTTGCCCAGGGTTTCTGAGCTTTCCTAAATCCATCTTCTGCTTCTTTGGTTTCCTTAAATCCTCCCATCATTTGCTTATGAAAGGCTTCCTTCTGCCAGTTCTTGATTTTTTCAAAGTCTTCATTCATCAGTGAACCTTTTACTTCTAGATGTAGTTCACTCACTTTTTCAGCTTCTGACATAAAAGCACACCAAGCCCTTTCTACTGTTCCATACTGTGGGCCTAAACACAACAGAAAGTGTCATTCTCAGTAACCATCACCCACATGGAACTTATATTCCCAAGAAACTACCTGAAGCTATTGACTTATATTCACTTGTAAACAGCAAAATTGATGCAAACCTTGAAAAGGGAACAGTTTCTTTTCAGATAAATTTAGATTATTACAAATTTTGACACCAGAAGAAATAATATTCAGTTAGTCTGGCCTCTTTCTCCCTGTACTGTGATTCTCAGTATTCCACATATTAGCTCCTCTTTGAACTGCCTTCAGTTTCTCAACATACTTTTTGAAGCATGGATAACCAGGAAAGGACAAACTAATTTCAGAATATATTAAAATGGTATCAGATTAGCCTTCCATTAGAGCAATGCCTAGCTCTTTTATTACTAGTCTGTCCCCCACACCACTGTCCCCTTATTATTCAGATATACTTTCCAAATGATGTTCTATACCATTAGTTACCTAGAAACAGCCAGTTCTCTAGAACTGACTCTATTTGAATACCTCAACACTGTAGGCAAGATTCATCTGCTTCAGTAAGAAACTAGCAAAGGAGCAAGGCTTTGTTTTTAATCACAAAAAGCTTGATCATTTGTTACATTACTGAGCCTTTTGCAAAGGCTCCGTTATAGGCTAAAAAGTACAAAAAAAAAAATCTACTTTGTACTTACCAAAACAAAGATATACAGAAATACTTTTTTCCATTTGAGAAAGTTTTCAGAGTTCAAAATCAGAATGTATTACCTTTTTCTACAAGCTGTTTCCACCTTTTTGCCCATTCTGTAAGCTGCTGAGCATAGACCTTCTCTATTCGTGCCCGTTCGTGAATACAATTCATAAGATCATTGCAAAGTCTGTGACCATCATCAATTCGTTTTACTGTCCGCTTGTAATTTCCAACCTATAAAGAGAAAAATACTTAACTATTCCTGCTTGAAAGCTCTGAAAACAAGATACATGTCTAATTAACACAAATACTGTTACCTAGGAGCAAGATAATCTACTAGCAGGAATTAATCAATTATAGCATAAGGCATTTTTCAATTAATCTTAAAACTTAACTGCAACACCACCACAAAGGCCACAAGGTCTGCTGTAAGAAACTTATTAAAAGTGAAAGCTTCATTATATTTTATTAGTCCTGCAATGTAATTACGGGCAGTCATCACAATTGTTCTACATTATTATTGCTTGGTAATGTTTTAGATAATCAACGTATTTAACACAAATACAGTATTCCCTCTTCCGTGCTTAATAATAAGTACCTAATGCCCTAGTTTTATGCTGTGTTTAATCTTTCAGGATTAATAAAACTGCAAAGACATGCAAAGGAGTATTGCAACATCTCTGTCAAGCATAATTATAGGGTTTTTTTAAAGAATGCAGTATGGAAAAAGTACAACCACTATAGATACAGCAGAGACTGGATGTGCCTTTTGTTACAGCTGTGCTTCACTGCTGACAAACTAGATAGCAACTATTTCAAAAGTATACTGTAGCACTTAATGTGGGAAGATACTGACAACAATGACATGGAGTTCCCATACCTAGAATTAACTTGCAAATACTAAAGAAAAAAACAGTTACTTGACATACAAGCTACAAAAGGATATGGAGAAAAATGCACACTATACATAATGAAAATTCATTATATAATTAACATCTCCCCTTTCATTTTTGTGTAAACACACCAACATGGAATCATCAATCTAGATGACTGCTCCCAGAGTAATATTTCCACTGATTTCAAGGTCATTCGGGTTGGCTTTTGTAAACATTAAACAAGACATAAGAGCTCTTAACAGGATTTACACAGTCTATTAAATATCACAGTCGGTTTCTTATCTGCCCTAACCACCTGACTGAAAAATAAAGATTAGCAGTAAGGCAGTAGATTAAACATTCAAATACTTAAAGCATGTTTGTAATTTTTACATTTGAATCATATCTGATTCACATCTTAAACACAGGAAGCCATCCAGCTTTTAGGCTTGCATTTATTCAGAATTTTGTCAGCAGATGTACAGGCAAGCCATCTGCTTCAGGAAAAACTCAAAATATATAAGGAAATACTCTTAAAAAGGGAAAAAAGCCTGTATTAAGTGCTGGAAAAATAAGTGACTGCTGATAAATACAGACACATGTTAGGACTCCTCATCAAAGCTGGGGGAAAAAACCAAAACCATCAATGACTGGACAAAACTGATTCCTTTAGACAGTATCCTGAAAGCACTCATTTGGGCATGTTTTTGGTTTTGGACTAGATCCATTTCAACAGATCAAAGAGATTTAGGTAGCATCTAAGAAAAGTGTTAGTTAGCAGTCACCGATTTGTCTAAATCATGTAAAAAAAAGGACATGCACCCCCCCCCCTGCAGCTTTAAACATTAAGTCACAATATAACTGAAGATAAGAATCTACCAGCATCATGATGAAGCTGACACAAAAAATCAAGATAGTCAATGCATCCATGTCAAAACAGATTTCATTTATTAACAAGACAGTATGAAAAATAACCTCTCATTTTCAGGAGAAATAGAAATTGAGAAGCAGGCAGTTTCAAACTAACACTGTACACTAAGATACATAATATACGTATGTAAGTATTAAGAAAATTAAGTACCTCAAAGAACACTTTCTAAAGCCTTTGTAATGGAATGAAAAATCATCCATCTGCTCAAAATTATTCCAACTGTAGGTTCACAACCAAGCAGACTGTTAAAACAGGTTATGGTAGCTTGGCACAGCTACTGAAGCCTTATATTAGCATCAATTTGTGTCTCCGGTTATGTGCCCAGGGATTTATGTCTCTAGCACGAACACTTCCTTTCATAAATTTTCACTATTAAATTAGCATTTTAAATGCTAATATTGAATGGGAGCAGGCTGCCTCATGGTATTTTGAACGCTTTAATTTTGTGTTTCTGAGCAAATTCTAAACCCACGGTAGCATTTTGTAGTTGCCAAATCTCAGGCAGGTATTCAGAGAACTGAGTTTACCTTACCTGTTGTGGCCCATTCACTATTATTGCATAAGGCTATCTTTAAAGAGCTGCATGCAGACCACAGATAATTCACCCATGCTACCTCCTTCTCTGCAGAAGGACTGAATGAACTAGCATCATAGTTTAGAACCAGTATAAACAACCACCAGGCCTACAAGGTTGTTGCTTTCTAGTATTGTATTCCAAAGAAAGCCTTTTATACTAGTATTTTCAAGGGGGAAAAAAGCTCACTTGATTTATGAAACAGTAGTTTTAAGTATGTTAGACATCACATTCAAATTTCATGCCCTATGAGGAACGCTAGAATTTTGGAAATACAGCATTTTTCTGTGTTTCATGACACACAGAACATAATTTATATACTTGGCATTTAACATTCTAAAAACTTAGTGGTTTATTAAAAAAAATGCATTTTAAGTCATAGACACTGCAATTACAAATTTTTTTGAGAAGTGGAATGTGCAGCCTGCCATAGGAAGAGGCAGACTCAGAGGTACGAGAGCACAAGGTTTTTAAAGCACAGAGCCAAGCAAAGGGAAAAGAGCTCTAGTCTTTATGCAGCCAAGGAACTACTAAGTTAACTGTAGATAAGTTAAAACAATTAAAAACCTATAAACACACTAAAGACATCCTGAATTCTGGAGAAGAAAAACATGACTTAATACATTGTTTTATTCAAGACTATTTTCTCCAAGCCCTGAGGTAGACTGCAAATGTGCAGCAAGACTTCCCCCTTACCAAGTAGTATTTGAGCTAAAACAAAAATGACAAAATTCTTTTATATGTAGCAACTAACCAGGAAAAAAAAATTCCTGTGTTTCTTTGTTTCAGTCAGAGCCACATTTACATAATGCCTTGCAATTCTCAGATTTCTTGATTAGCACTGTTCAGTACATGAACATATGATTTTGCTAGTTAGAATAACTTTCTGATCATTCTGAGCATTGGGGTATTCCCTGATAGAGAGCAGACAAGTACAACATGAAGTTATTAGTTTCCTTGTCCTACAAATGAAACATGTTTCAGGAAGGTAAATTGTAAAATTGTAAACTTCCTTACAGTTTCAAGAAGAATGAGAGATATTTAAAAACTATATCCTGCTTTTGTGATTTTAGCATCAACACTTCACCCATCTGAAAGAGGCATTTTATTACATGATACCAAATTCAGTTGCTATATACCCTTAGTTGCCAGAAACACTTCAAAAGGAAATAACCCCAAGAGTTTCTTCAAAATGCCACTACAGTGGTCACTTTCTGAATGCAATCAGTGAATTCTGTGGAATCTGTGATTCACAGTTTTGTGTCACACACACATCCCTTTTGTAAGTTGAGTTAAACAGTTTCCCCTTTTCCACTGCAAAAAATACTGAGCTTTGCTACTAATAAGTCTCAGTTGATCCTATTTTGCCTCATTTATCTTGCAGGCATTATAAGTGCCTTCAGATCTCCATTTTGCTTAGTCAAGAAAACATTTCTTCTCATTTTGATATTTCCTCTTATGCATGAACACAGTAATGTCACCTCAAATCCTCTGTCAATCTAAGATTTAGAGAATCTGTAATAACGAGAGAAAAAACACACAAGCACACTGTGACGAGGCATTTAGCATTGTATAGTTAGCAGTCCTGTCATCTCTCCTTTGTGACCACCAGTGTACTAACATAGCCAAGCACTGTCACTGATACGATCTTTAGCAGGAATATTTAAGAGCTTACAGCCTCATTATTTTACAATTTCACAGCACTAAACACAAAGGGAGAGTCTTAAATTATCTAGGCTCCTTTACCTCAAGTAAGAGACTTTTTTTTTTTAGCATATTCATAGAGCAAGATAAAAGCCTATAAAGAGTTGAATACAGTTAGCAGGTTTTTCTGGTACACTGAATGAAAAATACAGGTATTTTAATTTATTAGCAGCCCAGGTGGTGGCAAATGTTCAGCTATTGCTAAACTCCAGTCAGTTAATTCTAGTATATCATTATTGTAACCACAAATATTTCAGGAGTTTCAAATGCCTGAAGTAAGATTGTCAACTCTTTTTCCAAGCCTGCCTAGCTTATTCATAACTAGTCAAATGGTTCCAGTTCATAAAGGCTGAAGGAAAGTTACCATAGCATACAACAAGCTGTTTTTAATGGGCAGGAAAACACAATAATGAGCTTTGAAGGCTTATAGTCAAACCCATGCATAACGATGGCCAATATGGGGACAACACTTACTATTTCCAGCATTCCATTCAACCATGAGTACAATTTCTTTCCAACTACGTCAAACAGGAAGTTTCCAAACATTTCAACCACTGTTACATCTGTAATACTGTGGGGTATTTTGCAAATAAAAATAATTATCTCGGTGCATAATTAGCACATACACAGTCCAAATACCTATGAGCACTAGCTCTGTGTATTTAAATTTTGTAAGTTTACTCATATAAATTCACCACTGGTTGCAAGAAAAATCCTGAGGAAACTCTTAAACCCACAAAATCAAAAGCCAAACATACCAGTAAAGCAAACACCTGGCAATATAAATGAAGAACATTATGTTGCTCAATGTTAGAAGGAGGAAAAAAAATGCATATAGGAGATATGACAGGAATCTACTATTGCAGAGTCAAAATATTTTTTAAATGAATAAGCTAAACAAAACAGCCTGCTTCACCATCAAAAAGCATTCATTGTCAAGTAACTGAAATCCCTCAGCATGGGAAGAACTTTTCAATAGTCAAGAGAGGGGTTTGGGAACTTTTCCCTGCATCCAACTCACACCACCTCAACAGACACTCATGTTAGCTGACAGTAGTAGGCATGAAGCACAGGTGTCAGGAGTACTAAATGGGCAGGACCAAGACCATCTTGAGCAGACAGCTTACAGTGCAGTTTGTGGGAGGTGTGT